TCTGCATCTATTATTAATGGAATGATTGTTTCGTTAGATTTTTATTCTTTGTCACAAACTGAATTCTGATGATAAGAATCTCTATATAAGGTCTGTATCGTTTTTATAAATGCAAAATACAATTTTCAAAGATAAACAATATTCTCCAAATCCTTATAAACATGGATAATGAACAAACGGTCAACGTTAATAATGTTTATGAACTCATAATTGAGTGTAAAAAGTCAGAAAATGAAAGCGAATATGTCTCTAAAAGAAAAGGTATCCGTTACAATGCAGATATATACGAATTCGATGGTCAGGAGTTACATTATCTAATACAACGAGTGCTTTAACCTTAATGATTTGAACTTTCTCGCGGATGCTATGCGTTGTTTAGATTTTTTACATATGAAAGAATTAATATGCGACAATGAAAGGTTGATAAAGGGAAAAATTAGGCATTTCAGAAGAGTCAGTATGAAATTTTCTGATCTTTATGATATGATGTCTGAAATAGAGTTTATACAAAGGAGAAATGAAGTCTTCCTGTATGAGATTGACGTTTTATGAGGAGTTATGCTTAGTGATTATATGAGCTTAAAGCAAAATATTTATTTTCAAAACAGATGGATGGTTATAAAGTTTGTATGTGAAGATGATAGAATAAAAAGTTTCATTAATGAATATAATAGGGTAGAGAATGAAATGCAAGAATAGTATTCGCTTTGTATGGATGAAATTTTATGGAACAAAATAAATGAAAAAGCTTTTATTTTCCTTGAATTATGTTTATAAAGATTTACACTGAAGTAAAATAAGATTATCTATAAATCTTTTAGTGAATCAGTTAATCGATTAACTCATTAATTTCACGTTCGTTTTTTCGAGGAAAAATTTTGTTCTCTGGGGTCACTCAGGTACTTTCGATGTCAAAACCAGTTAGTGCTTGATTAATATTTGTATCGAAAGGTGCTTTATGCATTTTAGTGTTCAAAAAGCATTTTTCTATTTTGTGTGATGTCCCTTTTTTATGCTATTGTTATAGTGGCGCCCTTTATAAACTGTTCGTTATTTAACTCGGAGATCTAAGCACGTAAGTTTTCCATGTGTTTGTTGGTAATATTTCGAAGAAAAGAAGGGATAATGTTGGGGGAGTTTTTTAGGCATCTCCAACTGACAGAATTAATTCGTGCGCACGTTGAGCACCAATCATTTTGTCGGAAAGTATGTTGTCCTCTTCTTCAGGTAATTCTCCCATCAAGATCTCAAGCTTGGGAGCTGACCCGTTCTCCTCTTCTAAAAACTTTGTTTATAGGTGTGGCAACAGGGTTAGGAATTTTTTCCCTCTTCAAAGAATTCATGTTGGATAAAAATAGCGAATGTTTTACGGCCACTTGTTTTGTTTTTTCGACCCAAGCAATAATTTCATTGAACACTTTCACAAGTTTGAACCATACACAGAAATGCATAACGCAGCTTCCGGAATATATTGCGAATTCTAATTTTAAGTCCAGGACCTTCAAATTCTTCATTTGATACATCAAGAATATGTTTTGCAACTTTTTATATCTGGATTCCATCCAAAGTCGAATTCATTTCGATTTTGAGAGGGTGGTTGAGGAATATTATTAATATTTAGAGGCAG